CATCCATGCGTGCATCTCCACATGCGCTGATTTTTCATATCAAACTCATTTTTCCTATAAAATTTACTGATTTTTCATATCAAATCTGTTCAGTATGCAAGTAAAGAGGTTTGTTTCTAACTGGCACTGCTGACAAACTCACCCTGGGCTCCAGCTGCTCTTACCTCGGGCATCAGCACCTGTAACAGGCTCTGCAGGTCAAGCTGCACCCTTACCCGTTCAACCCCTTCATTTTCAGACTACCGACTCGGCGACTCAGGTTAATTCAGTACAAATGTCGTACTGACAAACGTCGAGACCGGTCAGTTGAAGACAAAAAAAGTGTTCCCAAGGTGCAACCAAGGTCAAATGAGTGTCACGATGGGCCAAGGTCAAAAGAAGCCTGCCTATGAAGGTCTCAAAGTGAATTTGGGCCGGTACATGTGGAAAAGACACCTTTTTGCTTGGAGACTGACTGAGCATACCTACAATGCTTGGAGCAAGATCTGATGAGCAGGCCCCAACAACACCGCTTCTTTTTATTTGAAGAAAGTCGCTTTGTTTTGCAAAAGGCCCCACGTCCCAACAGCAGCCATACCTAGTCCCTCCATTCAGGCCCCCAAACTAACCGCAAATGACAAACACTGGCAACCTTGCAACCTAACCTCATCCAAGTTTGCCCCAAATGATGTTAATCGGCGCAAGCAGTCCCGACGTCAAGTGGGGGGCGAGCCTCCCCGACATCTGGGGGGACAGCACCGACCTCCTGCACACCCAAGCCACCCGCCCGCCCCACCCAGCATCGTGACCGCGACAGCCCGCACCTGCCACGCTCCTCAGCCCCGGCGTGAAGAGGGCCTGGAAATCTGGCGACTCGCACTTCATGGTGAGGAAGCGCGGCCCTCGCGGCGCCACCCGGCTCCCGGCCGCAGGAAGGAGGCGCAGAGCCGGGCCCCAGTGCCGGGACAGCAGCCGGCTCCACATCTAGAGAGACAAGGGGCACGAGACCGCCGTGCCGACCCCCGCCCGCCCGGCGCTGCCTGGCCTCTGCATCCCCCTGGGCCGCCTCCAGCGAGGGACAATGACACTACAAACAAAATGTCCAAGTTTTAAAGCTGCGCAGCGCGGGGAGGCCCCGGGGCGCGGGCCCTGCCGGGGACGGAGCGGAGGGGAGGGGCCGC